CAGCGCTCACACCCCATCTTGGGGGGTTGTGCGCCATCGTGTCTCTCCAAGTTCAATCAGAGAAGCGGAGCGGCTATGAGTGACCTAGAACAGGGGGTTCGTTACAGGGATTTGACCTTGGCGTGCGTGGAGCCGTCTGTGGTCCTCTGTCTGGCGCTGGGTCCGAGTCACTCCAGGCCAGCCGGGCCGTCAGTCAGGAGGGAACGCTGGCTGTGCAGACACCGGTGCTCCCACGAGGGAGGGCCCTGCACCTGCCTCGCGCCACCTGCAACCTGGGTGCCGTGGGCGAGCTGCAGGTGAAGCCAGCATCCGTCACCTTGGAGCTGCTTGTCCGCTTGGCCCAGATCTCAGGGAAGACGGAAAGGGTCTGGCAGGGGCTGGAGAAGAGCCAGGAGAACCGCGGCGAGGTGCACGCCGCCACCAGCACGCCCGGCGCCCCGCGGGGACATTAGAAACTACAGCCACCGCTTTCTTTCCACCTTCCCAGTCTTGCGCGGATTATTCTGGTGACCAAGTCCAAGCCAGAAGCACACGGGGAAGAGGGCTGGGAGGAATGCACCTCCGGCGTAGCTAAATCGACACTGTCCAAAGCCCCCCAGTGCCACCTGGAGACAGAGGAGCCGGCCATCGGCTAGGGGCGCCCCAGGAAGGGGGCGAACACCCAGGCTCTCCCTAGTCCGTCTCCAGGCAAGGAGGTCCCAGCGCTCAAAGGCAGCCCTGCGATGGCCGCGGAGCTGGACGTTGCCAGAGAAACACACAGAACTTGTAAAGGGATCAGCGGGTATCTGGGCAGGGCATGACAATGGCCACTAGGTTCGCCCTACATCTCGATGGCTGGAATTATGTCACAAAACTCCCCTAACCCATGAAGGTCAAGGGGTGTGACCAGGGGGTGACCGAGCTGTGCTCGCCACATCCAGCATTGGCACACGAGCCAGGACAGGGACAAAGCCCCCCTGCTCTCCATCCGGTGCCTTGGCCATTCTGTTCCCAGTCTAGACCGTTTCCAAAATATAACGAGTCAAGACTAACTATCCATGGCCGGGCGCGGTGGCTCATGCCCGTAATCCTAGCACTCTGGGAGGCCGAGGCGGGAGGATCGCTCCAGGTCAGGAGTTCGAGACCAGCCTGAGCAAGAGCGAGACCCCGTCTCTACTAAAAATAGAAAGAAAAAAAATAATTGGTCAACTAAAAATATATATAGAAAAAATGAGCCGGGCATGGTGGCACATGCCTGTAGTCCCAGCTACTGAGGAGGCTGAGGCAGGAGGATCGCTTGAGCCCAGGAGTTGGAGGTTGCTGTGAGCCAGGCTGACGCCACGACACTCTACCCCAGGCGACGGAGTGAGACTCTGTCCCAAAAAAAAAAAAAAAAAAAAAGATTAAATATCCATAAAACCTCGTTGAAAATGGGTGGTTTTCCTCCCATCTTCACAAACTAATCCTCAGAAGTGTTTTCTTTATCTTTAAATCAACTGTTCTTCAAAACGTGCTTTGGGAACCTCCAAACCCTGAAAGATCCTTTCAGGAATCCATGAGGTCCAGACCTGCACTGAAGCCTGTTCCTATTAGCTAGAAGCAACCAATTGTTAAACTTTTCAGGCATTGGGGCCGGGCACGGTGGTTCACAGCTGTAATCCTAGCACTCTGGGAGACCGAGGCAGGGAGATTATTTAGGGCAGAAGTTCCAGACCAGTCCGAGCAAAAGTGAGACCCCATCTCTACTAAAAATTAGCTGGACGTCATGGCACACAGCTCCAATCCCAGCTACCTGGAAGGCTGAGGCAGGAGGATCACTTGAGCCCAGGAGTTGGAGGCTGCAGTGAGCTGTGATGATGCCACTGTGCTCTACCCAGGGCCACAAAGCAAGACTCTGTCTCAAAAAAAAAAAAAAAAAAATCAGGCGTTGGTGTGAGCCAGTTGTTAGCTTGAAATTGGTCATAGCAACAATATTTACACCCTAGAAATTGGCATGCAGAGCTCTCTCCCCACTCCCCTTTCTGGAAAGACAGTTGTTAAACATTTACCAGAACACCATTGTTCATAATAATTTTAAGATGTGATTTTCCTTTCCCCCTGTGCTGTCATTTGTACTGTTGGTACAAAAGAAATAGCGGGGAAAACCGCTGGTGCCTTAGCAGGAATCAGGGTGCTATCACAAGACTGTTCTAGTCGTTGGATTTGTCATCGCTACTCACTCACACTGAGGATAAAGAAAGAACGAGCGAGGGAGGGACGGTGGGAGGGAGAAAGAAAGAAGAAGAGAGGCAACCCCGTTTAAAATGTTCTCTATTAAACAGCAAAAATTATTAATTTTACTGATTCTTAACCCTGAAGTACAGACCCCGCCGTGGCCCGTTTGCAGGACGGGGGATGAACACAAAACACAAAAGAAAGACACAGACACACACAAAGACGGTACAAGACTACACTGCAGAACGCACCAGTCATTTCATTTTTATACCCTAAAAAATCAAAGTTATTTCCTTATATGTGACCGCCCAGGCATTGCAGCAATGGCCATAAATTCCGGAACAGGTAGCCTAAGGACACAGATGTCCCCTGACTCAAGGTTTCCAGGCGGTTGCACAAAGCATAGGTCACAGGCTGAGACAAGCAAGGTTAAGCAACGCAGCCACAGGGGGCACTTCCCATCCCCAGTTCCTCCTGGCTGGCCCCACGGCGGCTGTGCCTGTCTTAGGTTGTTCCTCCTTGAGGAATCTTACCCGTCATTGACTATCCAGCCACCTTAAAGGGCAACAATAATAGGAACAATGTACTTAATCGTGTGGCCTCCAGGCCCCTAGTAACGTGGGGATGGGCAGCTCTTGCCTATTTGCAGAAACTCAGACCCTTTGTTATGCTTCTAAGCAGCAACTTTGTTTGTTACATGGACCTCGTTTGTTACACGTTACTCTTAACGTTCTGGGCAGGGCACATACGCTATTTACTAAATTTAACTCTAAGCTGGGTAAGTATTTTGTTAGTACCCAACAGACCCTTTTAATATTCTATGTGGAAAAATGGAACTATAATGGATGTCTTGACCTGAGTGCTGAATTGACTGTTTTTGTTTTTTTTATTTTTTTATTTTCATGGAACGCCAAATTTATCTGAAAGAACAACTGACAGACTAATTGATGTCTGATTCAGACTTAAGCACTTGGCAGAAACTGTCTCAAAATATGAATGAAGGGAGCTGCCACTTCAAGGAAAACCACTGGCAGCTCTTGGTGCCAACGATAAAATTTGAGCTTTCAGAATAGGATTAGAATTTTGGAAAACACACATTTGTCACCATGACTTTGACAGCTTCCCGATAGTTAAAGACTTTTCAGATGAGATTGGTGGTGATACTAACAAATGGGATTTTTAAAATATTATGGAATGAAATGTGTCACTTTTTGGAAAATTTGCATAATTCGGTGAACTAATATTTTTCTAAAGACCAATGCATTATGTCACCAAATCATGCAGGGATAGAATGATCCAAAGTACAAGGTAGACCAATGGATAGAATGAGCCAAAGTACAAGGTAGACAATGAATTTCAATGAAATGGAACGAATTGAAATGGTTTCAGATTCCTCACTGCAACTAACCTTTAAGAAAAATTCACTTTTTGAGTTTTGATGTAGTATCTAAGAAGAATTCCTGAAATTTCTGAAATATTGAAATACTTTTTCCTCCCCACCTCCTCCCCCCCATCTTCCCAACACCCTATGAATGCTATTCCTGTATGTGCACTTAGGTGTTGATCAGTTAAAACCAATTTGCTGGTGAGTACATGTGGTGCTTGTTTTTCCATTCTTGGGATACTTCACTTAGTAGAATGGGCTCCAGCTCCATCGGGAGAATACAAGAGGTGCTAGATCACCTTGTTTCTTAAAGCTGAATAGTACTCCATGTATACATATACCACATTTTATTAATCCACTTATGTATTGATGGACACTTGGGTTGTTTCCACATCTTTGCAATTATGAATTGTGCTGCTATAAACATTCGAGTGCAGATGTCTTTTTTATAGAATGTCTTTTGTTCTTTTGGGTAGATGCAAAAAAAAAAAACCATAAAAAATGATGGTTATCAGCATTAGAAATATGGAAATTTTTTAATACAATATTTAGAACTTTTCTGTTGTAGGATAAATGTTCATTATAGAAACTTTGAAAAATTCAGAAAAATTATAATAAAAGTAAGTAACCCTACCGTTCAAAACCAAAAAAAAAAAGTGACTCCATTTTGATAATGTTAACTTTTGCAAAACTGTACTAATCCAATTGTTCTGCGACTTGCACATTTTCACATAGTAAGTCTCATGGGTATCTTTCCAAAATGATACACACTACACCGATCTATGTCTTTCTCTTCAATACTGTATTAGTAACGTAATGTTAATACTGTGCCTTAATTTGTTGGAATCATCTCCAAATGATGGACATTTTCCAGTTCTGGGCTATTTCAAACAATGCTGCAGTGAATATCTTCGACCCTACATCTTGGCAAAGTATATCTGAAGAGTAAATCTCTAGCAATGAGACTTCCAGGTCAAAGCATATAGTAGCTATCACCAATTTTTCTCCAGGAAGACTGCACCAACTTATACTGCCACTAATAATGTAGAAAGTGCACATTCCTACATACACCGAGTGAAATAATTCAGTCACAAAACGATAACTACTGTTTGAGTCCATGAAATGCCTAGAGTAGTCAAAATCGCAGAGACAGAAAGTAGAACGGTGGTTGCCAGGGGTCGGGGGTAAGAAAAGGAATAGGGGTTGTTGTTTAAGGGGAACAGAATTTCCAGTTTTGCAAGAAGAAAATACTTGTGGAGAATGGCGGTGATGGTTGCACAACAATCCAAGCATGCCACTTAATGCCACCAAACGATACGCTTAAAAACAATGAATATGGTAAATTTTGTTATATGTATCTTACCACAATGAAAAAAAAATGGGCAAAAAAAAAAAAACTTCAAGCATCTCTAATGACCGCCTCTTTGCTCTAAACTCTTTACTTTCTTAATGCTTCTTGGGTAATTGTAGCATTTGGTTAGCCATTCTGAAAGCTAAATTTCTTCCTGATGCCCTTCCTTCTCTCCCTCCTAACTCTACCAGAACAATCTTCTCCTAATTCCAGGGCCCGGTTGTTTTTTCCGCCTGGAGGGCTCCCAGGGAAACTATACACATCACTCAGAGTCTCGGGGCGATTGTCCTTCCAGCGCCCAATTGCCACGGAATTTTAGCATCACCTGGGTTGAGAAATGAAAGAACAGAAAGAGCCTGGCTTAGACACCAGGGGTCTGCACGTGACACACACACACATGGCTCCTCTGAACAGGCCCCCGTGCAAACATCTGGTCTCAATTTAGTAGTTCGACGGGCCATAGCTGGGAGTTTTTCCTTCCTTTGGACTGTGGGTTCTGTCCAAGGGACAGGTCCCCCCACAAGGACATTGCCATGAAGGACACACAAGGGAAGTAAGAGAAGAGGACCCAATTCTAAAGTTGGGCCCTCTACAGCCACACGGCTGTGAATGGGACAATCTCCCCAAAGGAAAGTCAGATGAAAGAGAAGGCCGGGCAGAGAAAACCCAGCAAACACTCACTGCACCCACACTGAGCGAGTCGTGAAGCCTCACTCATGAATTAAAAATAGAAAGTTACCGTAATGCTTTGAGCACTCTGTTTTAGTATTCCACCTAGAAGCCCGGCTGACAAACAACACAGCATCGCACACAAGGGTACACCGATAGTCTACATTTTCCATGATTTCCTGGGGGAGCATTTTGTCTTCGTGGTATCTTGAATCGGCCACGGTTTTCAACTGCTGCTCTTTTTGCTTAGCTGATGATAAATCGCTGTTGAGCTCGTTATTAGCAATTTAATTTGTTGTGGGTTGTTTGGCAAATCCTACAGTGTTTAATAATACTCATTTGCATCAGCAGTATTTTTGGCCTATAATTGTTCAATAAATAGACTTTAAGTCATGTATGCATTGGGTGAAAATAGGAATCATCTGTTAAAGGAATCAACCGCTAACGCAGTTGTGCCCACAATGCCCCGACTTGTAGAAGGCTTTCTGGATGATATTCCATTTTTAATCACCTAGTTGTTTTTCTGCAGGAAAGTAGGAACAGGTGGGGTCTTGATCGCCTCCTAATTGGGCTGGGGACAAAAAAAAAAAAAAAACCAAAAAACCATTTAGAGCTAAAGGCTTAGAGGACTTTGCCTAGACCAATTTTAATACATTGGAAAGTTTACGTGCTAGAGATGAGCAGAGCACATGTTGTAAAAACTGGTCTTAAATTGTGGAGGGTCTTAAAAACTTAATCTAGAACAAAGGTTGGCAAATTTCTTCCATAAGGACCGGAGAGTAAATATGTTTGGCTTTGCAAGCTGGGTGGTCTCTGTCACAATGACTCAACTCTGATGCCACAGCACAGAAACAGCCGTAGGCGATACATACATGAACGGGCATGGCAGTGTTCACAAACGAAAAACCTAATTACAAGAACAAGCAGCCAACTATATTTGGCCCGAGGGCCATCGTTTGTCAACCCCCCGGTCTAGACGTTTGGATTGCCTTCTACAGAACCATTGAGGATGTTACAGATATAAATTTCAGTCTCCAATTTCAACACTTAAGAGATGCGACCTTATTTTTCTGTTATTGAATTTCACTGGTAGCTTAAATCCTCATGCCCCGGGTGAGACTTCGTCCATCGCCAATTTCGTGTGATTCTGTCCTTTTCCTTAGAGCCTCTGTGCTGCATCCCTGGGGCTTGGACGGTGTGTAGGGTCGGGGAGGCAGAAGGGTAGGATAATTGCCAAGTCCTTGTCCTCCATGCTATTCCCACTGAGATGTGTTTCCCATCACTGCCATCCTTGGCTATTGGCTGCTGTGGGTTGAATTATGGGCCCTCCCAAAAATATATGTTTGAGTCCTAACCTCCGCTACCCCAGAATATGACCTTATTAGGGTGGTTACAGGTGTAATTTGTCAAGATGAGGTTATACTGGAGTATGGCAGACCCTTATTCCAATATAACTAGTGTCCTTTAAAGAAAAGAAAAAGAGCCGGGCGCGGTGGCTCACGCCTGTAATCCTAGCACTCTGGGAGGCCGAGGCGGGCGGATTGGCCCGAGATCAGGAGTCTCGAAACCAGCCTGAGCGAGACGCGCGTCTTCACATAAGTAGAAAGAAATTATGGCCAACATATATATAATAATATAATAAATAAATAAGCCGGGCATGGTGGCCGCATGCCTGTAGTCCCAGCTACTTGGGAGGCTGAGGCAGAAGGATTACTTGAGCCCAGGAGTTTGAGGTTGCTGTGAGCTAGGCTGACGCCACGGCACTCACTATAGCATGGGAACAAGCAAGACTCTGTCTCAAAAAAATAAAAAATAAAAAATAAATAAAAAAAAAAAAAGAAAAAAAGGCTGGGCATGGTGGTTCCCATCTGTAATCCTGGCACTTTGAGAGGCTGAGACAGTAGTAAGGTACGGAGTAAGGATAAGTTTGAGGTAAGGAGTTCATGACCAGCCTGAGCAAGAGCAAGACCCCATCTGTACAAAAAAAAGTAGAAAAATTAGCTGAGCATGGTGGCACAAGTCTGTAGTCCCAGCTACTCAGGAGGCTGAGGCAGGAGGATTGCTTGAGCCCAGGAGTTGGAGGTTGCTGTGAGTTTCGATGATGCCACCACCCTCGAAACCAGGTGACAGAGCGAGATCCTGCCTCAAAAAAAAAAAAAAAAAAAGACAAGACACAGATACAGGCCGGGCGCAGTGGCTCACACCTGTAATCCTAGCACTCTGAGAGTCTGGGAGGCCGAGGTGGGCAGATTGCTTGAGGTCAGCGAGCTTCGAAAACGCAGCCGCTGAGGCAAGGAAGCGAGACCCTGCTTTGCTACTATAAATGAAAGAAATAATGGCCAAGTACCTAATATATATACTATACATATAACGCGTATATATATAAAACATCAGCCCGATGTGGCGCATGCTGGTGAGTCCCAGCTACTCGGGCGAGGCTGAGGCAGGAAGGATTGAGCTGGACTCCAGCGAGTTTGAGCGTTGCTGTGAGCGGGTAGCTTAGACGCACGACACTCACTCTAGCCTGGGGCATCGCAAAAGCGGAGACTCTGTCTGCAATAAAAAAACAAAAAAAAAAGACAACAAGATACACCAAGGAGAACACCATGCAACAGCTAGGCAGAGATTGATGTGTTGCAGCTACAAGCTAAGGAATGCCAAGGCAGGCTGCTGACAAACCCACCAGACATAGGAAAGCAAGGCAAGGGGAATCTCCGCTAACACGATTTGAGAAAACATGCGCCACTGCAACACCTTGATTTCAGACTTCTAGCCTCCAGAACTCTGAGATAATAAGTTTTGTGGTTTTAAGTACTCATTTTTGTGTTACTCGGTTAAGGCAACTCTCATTTTTTTTTTTTTTTGAGACGAGTCTTGCTTGTGCACAGGCTAGAGTGAGTGCCCCGTGGCGTCCAGCCCCACGGCCGTCGCTCACAGCAACCCTCAAACTCCTGGGCTGCTAAGCACCCTCCCCACTGGCCTCAGCCCCCGAGTAGCTGGGACACAGCATGTCCACCAATTGGGGCCCAAGCCTATTTTCTATAATACACGTTAGCTTCTGGGCCAATAATTCTTTCTATATATAGTAGAGACGGGGTCTCGCTCTTGCTCAGGCTGGTTTCGAACTCCTGACCTCGAGCAATCCTCCCGCCTTGGCCTCCCAGAGTGCTAGGATTACAGGCGTGAGCCACCGCGCCCGGCCAATGCTCAGACATTAACACTTTGGCCAATGCTGGTCACAGCTAGCTCCACTCTTGTTCCCACCTCTTCCGGTCCACTGGGTCTCCGGGCCACAACCCTTGTCCTGAGTCCATTTCCTTCTCTTTCCAGAGTAACAACATGGTAGCCGGGGCCACAGCTGCCTAGCTTGACACGTCCCAGCCTCCTTTGCGGTTAGGTGGAGTCACATGACTGGGTTCTCAGGAGGGGAAGGTGAAAGGAAGTGACATACCCCACTTCCTGGTTTGAGTTTTATGACATCACAAACATTTCCTGCATGGTCTCCTCCCCCTTCCTGTGGGCTGGAACAGAGACTTAGTGGTGACCCAGCATTGACCGGGCAGACAAAGCCAGGCTGCTGGACGGGAGGTTGGAAACACGGCTGCACACACTTTAGAGCCTCCTGGGAAATTTTGATAACCTACCCAGGTCCCCACCCTAGAAAAATTAAATCAGAATCTCGGAGGGTGGGGCCCAGGCACCAGTATTTTCTTTTCTGAGACAGGGTCTTGCTCTGTCACCCTGGCTGGAGCAGGGTGGCTTCACTGTAGCTCACAGCAACCTCAAACTCCTGGGCTCAAGCAATCCTTCTGCCTCAGCCTCCCGAGTAGCTGGGACTTCAGGTGTACACCACCATGCCCAGCTAATTTTTTCTAATTTTTTTAGAGATAGGGTCTCTCTCTTATTCAGGCTGGTCTTGAACTCCTGGCTTCAAACAATCCTTCTGCCTCAGCCTCCTGGAAGAAGGTAGATAGGATTAGGACAGTATACCCATTTAGTCAGGTATACTGTCTTCTATTCCTTATGGATTTCATTAACAATTCTGTTAAAATGTCATATCTTATATGTTCAAAATGCCTTTGAAAATGTTAAGTGCAGGATATATTAAGTATGGACATCAGTGAATTTAAGACTTGAAAAGACCGTATAAATCATTTTTTATTTGGCTCCTTTGTTACGAAGGTGAGAAAACTGAGATTTCATTCATCCATTTATCATTCATTTAATATGTGCATATCGGGGAGCAACAATAGTTCACTCTTATTGAGAGCTAACTATCAGGCATTGTTGTAGGTCTCTTGCAGGTATTTACTTATGAAACCCCCAAACCTCCTTATGATGTTGGCACTGTTGGTTACCCCATTTTATGGATGGGGAGTCCAAGACACAGAAAGGTAAAGTTCATGTTTCTAGTGAGTGGCAGAGAAATGATTCGATGCTAGATGAGCTCATAATAATAATAATAATAATAAAAAGCACCTGAAGGGTACAGTGGCTCATGCCTGTGATCCCAGCACTCTGGGAGGCCGAGGCGGGCAGATCGCTCGAGGTCAGGAGTTCGAAACCAGCCTGAGCAAGAGCGAGACCCCACCTCTACTATAAATAGAAAGAAATTAATTGGCCAACTAAAAATATATAGAAAAAATTAGCCAGGCATGGTGGCGCATGCCTGTAGTCCCAGCTACTTGGGAGGCTGAGGCAGGAGGATCGCTTGAGCCCAGGAGTTTGAGGTTGCTGTGAGCTAGGCTGAAGCCATGGCACTCACTCTAGCCTGGACAACAAAGGGAGACTCTGTCTCAAAAAAAAAAAAAAGCACCAAACCCATGACAAGCCACTTTGACCAAAACACAGAAGAGATACTCAGCAAGAGATTGAAACCCCCTTCCAAGGTCTGCAGATACTGGAACTGTCAGGTACAAATGACTGGAGAAATTAGGGATGCAGCCGCAAAGGTGATCAAATGACAAGAAACTTTGTTTCTTGGGGAACAAATAGAAAGGTATTTTTTTAATAGAACTTATAAAAGCGAAAAATATAATTGCCGAAATAAAAACTCAACTGATAAAAAGCAGAGTAAACACAACCCAAGAAGAAATGAGTAAACTGGAAGACATAGCTAAAAAAAAATAACCCTGGGCCGGGCGTGGTGGCTCATGCCTGTAATCCTAGCACTTTGGGAGGCCGAGGCGGGCGGATTGCTCAAGTCAGGAGTTCAAGCAGCCTGAGCGAGACCCCTCTCTACCAAAAATAGAAATAAATTAATTGACCAACTAAAATATATATAACAAAAAAATATAAGCCGGTCAATAGGATGCGGCATGACCGTATACCCAGCTAATACAGGAAGAGAAAGAGGCATGAGAGCAGGAGGATGCGGAGCTTAAAGACCACCAGAAGATATGAGAGAATGACTGTAGAGCCAAAAGGCAATGAGCCACAAGGCAACATCACCATCAATAGAACCTGAAGAACAACAAGATAGAAGAAACACTTCCCTGTCTCAAGAAACTAATAAACTAAATAAATACCCTCGAACCGTAACACAAAGAGACAAGAGGTATAAAATATGAGACAGTAAGAGATGATGAGTAAGAGGATTAAACTCAAGGCACATCTAATCAAAGACTCAGAAGGATTAAGCAGAGAAAATAGAGGGAAAGCAAAATCTAAAGAGATAAGTACTGAAAATTTTTCTGAAACTGCTGACAAACTTAAGTCTACAGATTCAAGAAGCACAGTATGCCCCAAGCAGGATAAATAAAAAGAAACATATGCTTAGGCACATCTTGGTGAAACTGTAAACACCAAAGACAAGAGAGAAAAATCTTAAAAGCAGTCAGCAAGAAATTACACATCATCTGCAAAGGAATGACAGTTTTTAAAGCAATTTTTAGATGTTGCAGGGAATGCAAGGAATGACAATTTCAACACAGGCGACCTTCCAACAGTAATAATGGAAGACAGAAGGTGCTGAAATGACAACCTGACAGAGTTAGAGCAAAGGCCATTCTCCTGTAACGACCCTTGGCAGCTTTGGTGCCATAAGGGACGAGGAAGGCCACCACCGAGGACCGCCGGGCCCTCAAACCCTAAAGAGCAAGTCACCCACGGAAAGAACTGCAAGTAGAGAAGCCAGCAAGGTGGGGAAGCTTCGTCCTGGACACAAGTGAAATATCCCCTCAGAGTCCTGCAACATGATGTAGGAAACTCGCAGAGAGACCATGTCGAGGTCTCCCATGTGGAAAACAATGAGCTGCTGAAATTCAGGCATTCATGTTAACATGGCCTCCTTTGTATTCACAGTCCAATCGGGACTGGAAGATTTTGCTTCTAAGGTCTACTAACTGACCAGTCGACTCTGAATTTTGTTTGCAAACTCTGACTCAGGTTAAGAACTGAATGCATGTCCCTGAAATATTCTCTGATGCTCAGACAGTAAGTGAATGTAGTAGCCTATAAACAAGATTCTGAAACAAAGACCTCAAGCTGTTGAACAATGAGACCCAAGAAAACAATGGCTCCAATAACAAACAAAGTTAAGTTCTCTTGCAGCTAAGAATCCAGAAGGTGGTTGATGGTCCCACACAGGGAGGCGACTCTACTGCACAAAGTTATCTACTTCCCCATCTCCTGAGCATGTCTTCAACCGCATGCCCAACCTGGCTCACCGCCATGTCCTTATCCCGGCCATCAAGAAGGGGGAAAGAGATTCCGGAAGTTCCTTTCTGAGATAGCATGCAGGTCGTGTGGTCTTTGTGAGAGTCCACCATGGTGTACCTTTGCCAGGGCTGGAAAGTGCAGAGGTGACGGTTCAGCCCATCAAACTCATCTTCAGATACTTGCAAAATAGATCCCGCTTTCCGGTGTGGCTCTATGAGCAAGTGACTATGCGGATAGAGGGCTGTATCATTGGTTTTGATGAGTTTACGGACCTTGTATTAGACAATGCAGAAGAGATTCATTCTAAAACAAAGTCAAGAAAGCAACTGGGTTGGATCATGCTCAAAGGAGATAATATTACTCTGCTACAAAGTGTCTCCAACTAGACAAGATCAATGAAGTGAGAAATGGTTGAGATGGCAATACAGTGTTTTAAGGTGTACTCTGTTGGGAGTATAGTTCTAAAACATGTGCTCATGTTGTTTTATTATCCTTATGTTATTTCAAAATGACAATAAATGATGTGGGATTGTTTTTATTTAAAAAAAAAAAAAAGAGCCGGGCGCAGTGGCTCATGCCTGTAATCCTAGCACTCTGGGAGGCTGAGGCGGGCGGATTGCTCAAGATCAGGAGTTCGAAACCAGCCTGAGCAAGAGCGAGACCCCGTCTCTACTATAAATAGAAAGAAATTAATTGGCCAACTAATATATAGAGAAAAAATTAGCCAGGCATGGTGGCGCATGCCTGTAGTGCCAGCTACTCGGGAGGCTGAGGCAGGAGGATCGCTTGAGCCCAGGAGTTTGAGGTTGCTGTGAGCGAGGCTGATGCCACGGCACTCACTCTAGCCTGGGCAACAAAGCGAGACTCTGTCTCAAAAAAACAAAACAAAACAAAAAACAAAGTATCTCCAAACTAGCCACGATCAATGAAGTGAGAAATGGTTGGGATGGCAATACAGCGTTTTGAGGGGTACTCTGTTGGGACTATAGTTCTAAAAACATGTGTTCATGTTGTTTTGATTACCCTTATGTTATTTCAAAATGACAATAAATGCGGTGGGATTGTTTTTATTTTTAAAAAAGAAGGAGCAAAAAGAAAAAGTGGAGGGCAAGTATTTTCTTTTAAGGAAGCAACCCAAAAGTTACTTTATTGTTTCCGCTTATATTCTGTTGCTGAGAGCTTGATCACAGGGACTTGTATAGCTGCAAGGGAGGCTTGGAAGTACAGTCTCCAACTGAGTAACCCTGAGCCCTGCCAACACTCAAGGAAGCTCTATTACAAAAGGCATCAATGCCTGCCCTGGAGGGCAGGGTGTAGACAAAGCATGCTGAGGTTAACTCACAATTATTTTCAAATAATAGTAATAAGAATATGTAACATTTAGATATGCTGTGCCAAGCACTAGTCTAAGTCCTTTACTTGTATTAACTTGTTTAATCCTCGACTCTAGGAGGCAGTTGCTACATTAATCCCATTTTGTAAACGAGAAAATAAAGACATAGAAAGACTATGCAATACACATCTACCAAATGGTACAACTACAGTTAGAGCTCTTTAGCCAAAGTCTCATGAAAATTCATTTCCAAACGATGACTTTGCATTTACCTATCAAGTCATTATTTGAGAGAATGTAAAAGACATTTCTAGGGCTCTGAACAAGAAAGCTAGCAAAGCAACCGATTTCCAGTTTAGTACAAAGAAGAAAACTGTTTACTGAATAGAGAGGAAAAAAACCCACCTCCCTGCTTCA